GTTTAGATCCAGGTTTCCACACTCCATCAGCATGTAGATGTAGCTGTTTGTTATTTCACTGGTGACAGAAAGGCAATTAGTGAAAAAAAGCTATAAAAATTATTCTGATGATATCCTTGGACTCACTAATCATAGAGCTTTATAATTTGATCGCTGTATTGCTGCAAATGGTTTAAGTGCTCAATTTCATTTTTGTAACTTTCCACTGTCTGTGGGTCAGCCTCCTCCAAGTCCACATATTTCACAGCAAACAACTGCTTTTTATGGTCAAGAACCTGGTAGACCTGGTGACGACAAAAACATTTAGCATTAACATCACATTGTCAGATGTGCAGGAAAAAATAAAATAAAATTACATTAACTTACCTTGCTAGATCCACCACGGCCAATTATCTTCAGAATGAAGAACTGTTTGCCCTTAATAGTAATGGAGTCATTTGATATTGTTGGAATGGAAGACTATAAAAGAATTCACATTAAATAATCATTTATCTACTGGTATTAATTTGGTGCTTTGTTTAATAGAGTAGGTTAGAGGAGTGAACATTACCTGTGGAGTCTGGAAAATGACTTGGTTTTGTGGTGTAAATGGCTGCTGCATAGGTCTGGCTGTGTTTGCCGAAGCTGTGGAGGAAGACTCTTCAGCACATCTCTTTACAACAGGGGTAATAAAGCTAGAACCAGAAATAAGAGAAAACCATCAAATGCACTTGTTAGAAGAGTGTATAAGTTTACTTATACTAATACAAATTGTTACCTGTTAGGGAAAGGATTTTTATAATTGTTGGGAGTTTGACAGACCATTTGAGGGTTAGGTCTGGATGTCGGGTGAAAGGAGGGAGTGGGAACTAAGGCCAAAGACTGAGACTTAAGCCTTGGATCAGGAGGAGTTTCTCTTTTATCCTACAAAACAACAGTAATGCTACAACAACATATCTTTAAAGGACAAACCATTAGCAGCAATAAGATGCCAATGCATACCTCTGGTGACACCTGCCGAATATGTGGGACTTTCCACTCAGGCGCAGACTCCTTACTGATACATACAGGTTGTTCTACCTTTCGATTAACTGGGACTCGCTGTGGAGGTGGGAAGGTCTCTTTTGCCAAATTAGGAATTAAATTTTCTTGCCCAGTCTGGTGGTCTAATGAATGTATACCACTAATTAGTGTATAAAATATTTAACAAAATACATACAACATTGACATACATTTACATTATACAAATATATGATCATCACTCCTCACCCATTGACTGGTCTTCCTTATTGGATATCAACTGCTCCTGTCCATCTTTGAGATTCCGCAAGGCTAAATCTAAAAGCTCAGTTGGTTTGGCATTTAACATCTGAGCTTTGTGAAGAATAGAACCTGCCTTCATAACATTACCTAAAAGAGAAGATAAAACATGTCCCATCTTGAATTATAGAATACATACCTGCAGACAAAAAAACAAAACAAAAAACACAGATCAGATGGACTACCTTGAGTAACTTCAAACTGGGCATATGCTATGTGGACAAATGCAAATCCTTTGCAGTTTGATCTTGCGACAATGAAATGGTCTTGTGCATCATCTGGGTCTTCAATACTGCAGAGCAATGTGAGATATTAAAATAATTTCTCCTTTACAGCGCAGATAATTCACCCAGAAATACTTGCCCTGTGAGTTCTGCATATCGAACTAACATCTTAGCATAGCTTGGATTTTTACTGTATTGTCTTATTGGCATTTTTGCAAATATTTTTGAGTAAAAGTCCTTAAGTTTGTTGAGAAAATAACTATCTGTCTGTGGATTCCCCCTCTTCTCTAGATTCTTGAGGTGAGTCCAACATGTCTCAGGAGATTGTGTGTTGACAATCTGGTCAATATTGAATGTTAAATCTGCTAAGAGATAATGAATGTAAGGTTTACTGCATCAAAAAAATGAATCAATTTAATTACTAAAAGTTACAAATGAATGAATACCTTCCATCCGTGAGGCGTCTTTTGTATTTAGAAGTGTTGTGGTAGAGTCAATTTGGCCCTCCCAGGGCTCTGGACTTAAAGCAAATGTCTGTGAATTTAAAAATAAAAACAGTTCAAAAAGGAAAATAAAATTAGTCATAACCCTCTGTCAGAAATTTCTATGCTACTGATTTATGATTGCCTTGCAAGACATCCAAGGCACTGTAGGGAAATTGGTCATTAGAGATATAAACCAGATAAGACAGGACTGTTTTGACTAGGGACTAGTGAATTTAGCCAACTGAATTCACTAGTCACTAGTCTGGTGAATTCCAGACTGTGGGAGTCTACTCCATGAGATGAAGAGCTTTCTGAGAGCTGAGAGGAGGCCAGAGGCAAAGGCAAGTATTTAAGGTGTCTGAGAGGTACTGAGAAGCCTGTGGGTGAAAGGCACTCATAGCAGGTGAAGATGAAAATTTCATACAAGGTCTAGAAGAAAAACAACAATTTTTAATGGCGATAGCAAACAGAACTTACTTGGATAATGTCCAGGTCCCTGTCTGCCATTTTTTTCTTAGCAGAACACAATTTGGGCATACTGGTCACAGTGGAACCGGATAGATACCTAAAACAAAAATAAAGTAAGTTTTTGATAAGGAAACACTTGTGGCATCAGAGGTGAATTATGATACATGCATTTAAGTTCACAAACATACCTAGACATATTTGGAGCACTAACTGCAGATTTTCCATTAATGCAGTCGTCATCATTTTCTGGAATAGAAAAGGGAACAACAGGAACTCTCCCTGGCTGAAAATAAAATAAATTTTAACACACAAACAGATATCCTCAAGTATTTTGTTAGCAAGTTCCACCTACCATGACAACTGGTCTCTTGCGTTGAGAAACAGACCTCCAAACAGGAAGTTGATCATCTGATCCAATGCATGCCTCAGATCTGAAGAGCAAATATTTGTAAAAATGTATCTTTTAAAGAGATGATTTTCCAATTTAGTCCTACCTTGAACCAAAATTACTGGACATTTGCAAGTCTCCCGTACCATCTGATATTCTGCTTATTTTAGTGAACTCTGTTCCTTTCTTCTCAGAATCACTGGCATTATTGTTTGATAATGCTAAAAAAAAGACCAAAAAAACTGTAAGCAAATGCACTCAATAGTAGAATCTGTAAATATATAAATATAAAACACAAACATGGCAAATTCTCTTTATCTTCCAAATTTGATTGCTGCAATTTCCCACATTGTATCCTCTGCAATTCATCCTCCAGCAGCTCCTTTGGTTTAGCACCAACTTCAATAGCACTTTGAAGAATATAAATGGCCCTCTTTGTGTTTTCTAGTAACATAGTAGTTGACACTCAAACAATGCACAATGCATAGAAAAAATGCATCTAACAAAGCATGAAAATATACCTTGAGAAACCTCAAACCTTGCATGGGCAATATGAACAAATGCAAAGCTCTGACTGTGAGATCTTGCCACATTAAAATTAGCCTCTGCTTCATTGACATCCTGAATTCTAAAAAAAAAAAAAAAAAAGAAATAAATGAAGAAAAAGAGATTTAAAAACAATATTTGGTTTAAACTATGCCTCTTACTAAACATAAATACTTACACTTTGAGCTCTGCAAATCTGACCAACATCTTGGCATAGCTTTCGTTTTGACTGTGTTTTCCAAGTGGCAGATTAGAAAATACTCTTGTATAAAAGTCTAGAAGTCTAGTGAGATGGCCATGGTCCACATGAGGATCTCCTTTCTTTTCCAACTCCATCAAATATGAAAGGCATGATTCAGGTGAATTTGACCCAATAACCTGGTTTATATTGTCTGTGTCATCTGCAAAATGAAAATATTTAATCAACACAATGGATGTGCATTATTTTTGCTGGAGCACTATAGGCAATACATACCATCATGAAGACCCTTTTTAATTTTGTTAAGCCTTTGATAAATCATAGCAAGTCGTTGTTTCCTGTCTGTGTGTTCCTCGTCTGTATGTTCCTCTGCCTCCATCTTAAAAAAAAATATATAATAATAATAAATACTTGTGCATTGTGAGATAATTTTACTTTTTGTTATAAGGCAGTATTACCCACAGGTTTATATTGATAATATGGTGGAGCAGCAATTCATATTTGATTCATTATATTTAATAACATGTGTTGATTAAATATGTCACAATTGCCTATGCTGCTCCGAAATGGTTGTTTTCTATATGTTCTTGACAATAGCAATGCCAGAAAAAGTTAAAAGCAAAAAGTTTTGTTTTGACAATTTTTGAGCTTGATTTTTGAAGTGGTTGGCATATTACATTGTTATACAAGTAAATGCTGTAGGAGACAGACTTTTATTGCAGTGGCTTGTTATTTTCTACTATTACTATTGGATATGTCATGGTTAGCGAGCTAGCTATGGTTATTCGGTGGCCTGTCTTGCTGCTTTTCTGCTCTAGATTTATCAAGTGTGAGGTTTATCGCTGTAGCTCTTCGCTTTAATTCCAGATTTCCAAAACTTCTAATACAGTACGATCAAAACGTGTCCTACCTTTTTGATTTTATTTGATCCCTTTCCTCTTTAGCGATGAAAAATCTTGCAGTCAACTGGCAGAAACAGTTTTCAAATATCCCACTTCCGCTCAGCACGCACGCTGATTGGATGGTGGAGGGAAACGTCCTCGTGAACACGTCACTTTATTTTTCTTTCACATAAACAATTCTGGTTGTTGTCTTTGGCGTCTTTTTAATGTCTAATAGTTAAACTGTATTGACTATTTTCCTGCTATTTATACATTCATTTATTGTTTATTAGAATGATTCGTTTATTTTATATTTAATTTGTGCTCGTGTCCCCGAAATATTGCCATAATTAGTGATTAAGTCGTTCTTGATGACACTGTGTAGTTTGAGAATAAAGAAACTCATAATAAACCTATATTAACATCGGATGTGTGTGTAGCCTAATATCTGGCTAAAATAGCCAACACTCCCCAGCACATTTGTCTCCGACGGGATGTGAATGCAGCGGAGCTAAAGCACTTCCCTGTTCCTGCTCCCCCTCAATGATGGCAGCCATGGGACAGAGATGAGCGACGACATAATTTACAAGCCATTGTCAGTAAGCGGTGCTGGTTTGTGGCAATTTATAATCTTTTCTAATATTTCTCAGTTATTTTCTGTCCACACACACCTTCAAAAAGTACAGAAAATGATTGTTTCTGGACAAAGCTAGCAAACAGCGGTTAGCATCAAGCTCAAATGAATTTGAGTACCCTGCTGCACGATAAAGCAGCTGCTCTGCTTACGGTGTAACATCTCAAAAGGTAACTCAATACAATAACATTGTATATAATAAAATCATATAAACTGAATTGGATTAAAGAGCGGTTGTGTGTGTGTATTTGCACCTGTACTGCGACTGTACAGCTGTGTATTATGATACAGACTATACAATATTTTTGTCTGAATATTCCCTTAAAATTTGACATTTTCCCCCGCCTTTAGCTTACTTTGCCATGGCCATTACTCAATTCCGCCTTTTCAAGATTTGCACATGCCTAGCCAGCTTGCTTTCATTCTTTAAAAAGCTAATATGCAGGTAAGCACACCCTCTTAATGAAACAATGTGTCTCAGAGTTCTGCTGTAATTACACAGTATTTACAGTTCTAAACATTACCTGCAGGAGTGGAAGAGGTCGCAAGCTCAGTGGTGATCAAGTAACTCTCCCAACAACAGTGGATTACTCCTCATCGGTACCAAAGCAGGTCAGTATTACAATTGGCGTAAATTACGTACAAGTTAACACTATTATTTTTTGTATTATTAAAGTGTTGGTTGATGGGATATGACAGCCTTGTATAAAGGATAACATTTACAATTACAATGATATTAAGCTATTGGTCTTTTGTTATTTTTCATGTACCCCATCATTGTTTGTGAAGATTTTATTCATCTATTGGCAATTTTTTTCTGTGTTCTAGTCTGCACAGCCTGAGATAGAAGAATGGAGTTCTTGGGATGAAGATGCTCCTACCAGTATCAAAATTGAGGGTGGAAATGGAAACATCACCCCTTCAGCTAATGACCAAGAAGAAGAGCCAGACTACTTCAAAGACATGGCCCCAACTATTAGGAAAACACAAAAGGTCACTTCATGAAGTGTGACTGACAAATTGTAACACAAAAGTTGCTAACCAGATAAGCAGGCAGATTTGTATAATTTAACCAAACATATTAAGAGTAAATTTTTTGTATTGCAGATTGTGTTAAAGAAAAGGGAACCTGCAAATTACCTGGTGCCCGATGGCTCCTCAGGTTTCTCCAGTCGACTGGCAGCTTCTCAGGACATGATGACTTTCAGTCCTCCTTCAGTAAATATCATTTTCACTTTGTGTAGCTTAAGATAATGTCTTTGCACTACAAAAGTAATATTTAGTTGAAAATGGAGTTTGTTTTATAGTAGTGACTAATACTGATTATAGGCTGAGTTGGGGGAATTGGACACCTGGCAGGAAGACACAAATGCCTGGGAGGAAGAATCTGATGCTGCATGGGAGGCTGAAGAGGTCTTAAGGTAATTAATAAATATATATGTATTTTTCCTTCCAGGCATCTGTTTTATCTTTATACCCATTTACCTTTTGCTATAGCCCTTTAATCATGAGACAAATAAGATTTTAAGTTCATACTCAAATATGATGGACATCCCTTCTGTTAAAATGTGTCCTTTCAACTGATTGGAGGGCTGAAGTGCTTTAAACCATGTAACATATGGGACTGGCCAGCAGATGGCGATGTCTTTCTTTAAATAATCAGAGAAAGTACTAGATTATGACCTTTCACTTCCAGCTGACCATGCTTCTGTTAGTGAGTCATGTAATGATGCTAGTTCTTTTGCTGCAGAGAACAGAAGATGGCTGAGCGTGAGAAGCGATATATGGAGCAGCAGAGGAAGAAGATGGAGAAAGAGGCACAGAGGATGATGAAAAAAGAGCAGAAAATGGCCGTCAAGCTCTCGTAACATTTTATCACTGCTCAGGTCTGAGCCAGCGGACAGTCCCAGACCCTGATTCTAAAGTTGCTCTTTTAAATTTATCAATTAAACAGGTTCACCTGAGACATCCCCTTTTCTCCACCATTTTTCCACCAGCATTCATTTGATTCAAATTTACCTTAATGATGTAGTTGCTAAGGGTCATTCACACTTCTGGGTTTTCTGATATAATGTATAACTGATGCATTTTATAGAAGGTCACCGTATGTCATTTCAGTTTGGGATGTAAAAATTTGTATTCAGGTCATGTAATTTGTAAATTAATGCTCTTAAGACATGAGCAAGATGTTTCTTTGTCTTCACAATGGAAAGACGAACAGAGAAATGTAAATGTAATTATTAAAAGGAATCTTTGATATACAAACATTTTTAACTGTGAAAGTATATTTTCTTTTCACTGGTTCCCAACTGTTGTCTTGGAGATATTACGCATACAATTTAATAATGGCATGATGGAAACATTTATTTTTAATTAGCCAAGTAACCAAGTCCCATTGAGGTTCATAATTTTAAAGTCCTTGTATGAATTGTTTATGCCACATAGTTTACCATCAAGTTAATGACAATGGTGATGGTGGTTTTGCAGTGTGAAGTGTGATTTAAGTAGTTATACAACTTGTACATCACCTTCTGGCAAAGACGCACTAATCAAACAACTGGCGTCGATTCAGACATGTTTACTTGCACGCATTGGGTGGGTGTTATGTCATTGGTTTGCATGGGTACACTACAGTTGCACAGACACTGACCTAGTTTACTTTTTGGGATGAGATCATCATGGGCTGCAGCTTTTGGAGTTAGAATAAGTGGATTTAATGCATTTCGTTTCGCTCAAATGAAGGGATGTCCGTGTTCGAACTCTTATGTAATAGAGCAATCGGGTGTGAGCTGATGTCTTCATGTTATGGCAGGGAAAAAAAAAATAAAAAATTTCACAGCTATAAGATGTAATGGCAAGTTCTAGAACACGTCAGCCCTAGCTTTATCTGGTTTTATCCACTTTATGTAAAACAGGATTTAAAGACAAAAAAATAAAGCTGAAAAAGACAACGCTTTTTACTGACACAGGACCATACAACCTAGGCAAAGATTAAGTTTGACCTTTAGTTAACTTGGAGCCCCTGTGACTGTTTTGATCATAGTATAAAAAGCTTGCATACAACCGTGGTTCCTGAAAAGCCAGAGACAGTGGTCAGGTTTGTAATATTTATCATGCTTTAATATTAAAAAGGACATTTGACGTTTACCAACAGTATTGCACATAGCTCAGGCACGTCAACAAGTCTTCAGCGTTGAAGCATCTATGAACAATACACAAGAGGTTGTACAAAATAAAGCTCTATTCCCAGTGAGGAAAAAAATATATGCTTCTCACAAAATAAGAGTGACTTGACATTAAAGCTTTGGCTGAAGGTTTCCTTTTAAACAAAACACAAAAAGTGACCACTGGTGACTTTTCCAACACAAACATTCACCTTCAAAATATCCCATTCTAAAAATCTGTGACACATTTTGGGACAGTACAGGACAATCACACATAACCATCTACCTAGATGATTAGCTTATACATAAATAATAAATACCATTTATAAATAATCCCTTCCATATCACCATGTTCATCTAATTCAAGGAAACTAGAGTGCAAAGTCAAGTGGCTTTAAAATAACTGGCAGATTTAAGGTGTTTGATAATTTCACAAATGATGCAGAAGTGCTTTTAGTTAGTGCATGCAGGAATCCTTTAAGTGCCTGACCCGTTAGCCACATGACGAAGAGAATGCAATCCCATGATGCAACAGCCCCTAATCAGAGCAGCGATGTTATAAAATGGCACACTCCCATCCGCCCCGTGCCTCGAGTACATCCAGGCCACTGTAGGCAAGACTGGAGCTGCCACTGCCACCAGGTCGACCAGGAAGTTGTTGCTCCAGTACCGTTTCTCCACAACCTCAAGTCCAGAAGTAAGACGATGCTCCTCACTCCCACTGTCAAAGTCTAATTCTTCCATGAACTTTGGGCTCTCTGTGGCTTCTGCAGACCCTATGCCTGAATCAGTGGAGGTATCTGGGTTTTCGTCTATGATGGGGGAAATGTTGTTGGGTAATGGTGGATTGCCATTTGTGAGTTCTTGTAAACTCTCTGAACTTGATAGACTGGGTTCATCGAATGTTACGCCATGAAACTTGAGCAGCTGGAGAAGTAGGGCTTGTATGTCAGAATACATTGGATCAGTCTGAACCTCCTTGTCATCTTGGCATGGTGCAATTTGGGATAGGGTTACAGTTGTTGATGCTGTATTTACAGGCCCAGCAGATTGGTCACTTGGAGACACCTCTGACAGTGTGGTTAGCATTGCCCCATCGACCCTTAGCTTTCCACTTGTATCTTGACTACAATCTACCGCTGTGGACATGAATACTTGCTCTAAAATATCCGCTCTGTTGGCCATCTCGTCATTGACAAGAAGTCCACTGTCTGCCATCGCCTCTGCTCCTTGCTCCATCTCAACATCCACCACACCCAGCATCTTCTTCCCGCTACCATTCGAGCCATCGCAGATAAAGTCCAAAGTCTGTTCATTGTCAATGCTATTACCACTTTGGGCTAACTCCATACTGTGAAGAAGAGACTCTAGTTTTCTGTTTTGGATATTGATGTCGATAAAGTACTTTTGGATGCCCTTGTCTTTCTCCATGAGGCTGCTCTTCATGGTCTCCACCACTTGACGTAGCTGCTTGATCTCTTTGCGGGCTTCTTTGAGGGACAGCTGGGCCTCTACCCGGTGACATTCCTCCTCAATCCAGTCTTCTCTCATCCGACTCAGCTGCCCCTTCAGCTCTTCAATTTCATTTTCTCTGTGGGTCAATATTAATGCAAATTTTTTATTAATCCTGACATACAATATAAACTACTATATTTTCAATATTAATTTTTAAAATTTACTGGCCCATACCCACCTGTCTTGGACTCTGTTTTCAGATTCCAGCAGTTTGGTTCTGAGGTGCCTAATGGCCACCTCTTTCTGCTGCAGGGGAGTGAGGTACTGCTCTGGGTTTGGGGGTCTGACACCATGGTTGTCTCCACATGAATGGTACCGACCCAGGCTGGCTCTTCTGTGGACAAACAGTTTTATATAAAGTACTTTGAAAAAGTCACTGTTGGGGGTAGACACAGGCAGTACACACAAACTCCACACAGAATGGCCCCAGGCTGCCCCAGAATGGAACCCAGGACCTTCTTGCTGTGAAAGCAAGAAAGCTAACTGCTGCAGTGAGTATGCAGGTTTTGGGACATCCACCCTCTGTGGTACTTCATAGTAGGTCTGACAGCTGTCACCTACTAAACATTTTGAACCAATCATGTAAAAACCTTGCAGTTATTCACCATGTACAAATAATTAACTTGGGAAATGAGTGCTGGTGAGGCACATGCTCTGAAGCCGAGAATTACTGTCCGACATTAGGATTAGTGCAGACTACAGGAGAAAAACGCTCAAATACAGCATTAACCAAATACAGGCGCAGCACCAGAATGCACTGACAATGCCTAAGTCAATTGCATTACAAAAAAGCCATGTATCCCAATTTTCAAAAAGAAATGAACAAAGATCCAGTTTATATTTTTAAATGTAGGCAAAATATGCCAATCCCCCTAGCTAGCCCTCAGTAATATTCTGGCAACCTGGATACGGGCCGCTTTGATGAGAGTGCACCACACTGCTGCCAGAAATAGAACCAGGAGAAGGAGAGAGAAAGAGTGGGGGAGAGATGTCACATGATGCTAAACTGCACAGGCAGAGACACGGCAGGAACATTGTGTAATTTATAACTGCTTTAAATTCATAGAGTTACTGCTAAGAAACAAGGTAGATTATAGCTTTAATTGTATTTTTATTTATTTATTTATTTATTTTTAGTATGGAGGAAATTGCAGTTTTGCCGTTTATGAATACATGGTGTGGATAAACACTGACAAATGCATTTACCATGTTGGGGTTAACGGTTTTCTTTTGAAGTTTAACATTTTTCAGTCTAAATTAGTTCAGTGAAAGGCAATGACAGATTATTATACATACACTGTGGAAATCTCAAAAAAAAAAAATAAAAAAAAAAATCTGTAGCATCTAGCCATACACAATTTAACTATGAATTTATCACATGCAGCTCAACGTGTTTCATCACAAACACTCAACGTATGAATAATAGAGAAGTGGCTGATACCTTGAGGAGAGGCTTGAGTTGCAGCTGCTGTTAATGGAGGAGGTCACTCTGGGGGGTGTCCCGTAGGGGGCATACAGCTCTGCATCACGGTTTGCAACTGGGCTCCCAGCAGGTTTAAAAATGGGCAGTAGTCTGATGCGAGTGGTCCGGCTTGGTTAGACAAAGGGAAAAAGAGTTATTTCATATTATAAGTATTTTATTTACCAACTTCCAATCTGGATGTGTACCTGCGAGTTGGAGTTTTTTTTCCAACTGAGTTTGAGGAAACGGTCTCTCTGGCCTTTGGGCTACCAGTGCTGCTGGAGGAGCTGAAATCTGCTTCACTCCCTGCAAAATAAGTGGCAACTCAAATCTCAAAATCTTCTGCTCACTTTTTTAAACTCATAAGCGGTACATTTTACTGAGTAAGCATGCCTAATTGAAATAGTCCATATTTTGTAGAAGCTCAATTGAAAATGTCTAACAATACCTAACATTCTTGCCGCAAAAGCTTCTGTTGATATCATTTCGCAGTATGATTAAAAAGTCATTTTTACAGTCAAACCTGAGAAGCATCTTTTGCCGTCAAACAAAACCATATTATGTGTTCGGTGACGACAGTGACATAAAAATAAACAATAAATCTTCCTTTCTTTGGTGAATTAACTTAAGTGTGTGCACATCAACTCAACTCAGATTAAGTGTAGTCACCTCTAGCTCATCAACTTAATTGGCTAAGCCCCCGAAACTTTCTCTCAACCAATCAGCTTCCTCTCCTCTCTGTCTCATGATTGGTCAGTGTGAAAAGTCATTTTGGGATAGCAATTTAAGTCACAGTTTTCAGCAGTTTTGCCCTTTGTTCCCAAAGTAAATATCATGCAGTGAATTCCATAAATCCAATTCCAAAAATTTCAGTAGCACAACTGTCAACTGCACAGTAAAAAGAGGGCAGAAAGATAAATATATAATGCATTTAAATTAGTGAATTGAGCATGATTAATTATGGTTAACAGTTTTGACAACAACTTCAGCGCTCATATGAAAATAATCATAATAATAAAATCACCACTATCTTACAATATTACAGTGTGAACTATCAGGTAATAAATATTAAAATAAATGCAATGAGAAATTCTCATTGATCGCATTTCAGTGTATTATGCTATGGCTGTATGGGCTTTTTGCTATACCTGTAATATTATTTAGCAAGGAAGATCATTTAATAGGAACTTTAAGCCCATCCTGTTCAGTTTGTCTTACCTTTGTGTTTCATAGCAGAGCGTAGTTCCCTCTTTTGTCTTGTTCTGGGGTGCAGCTCTCCACATCCCCCTGCAACCACTCGGACCCTCTTCACTTTGGTGGTGCGTTCAGGAAGCATGGGGGAGCTGTGGGTGCTCTGCTCTGAACTGGACGGGGTTTTGGAGGGGGATATGGACTTACTGGTGGGGCAGCCGGTGTCATCTAGTTTATAGTGATCATAGTATAGGAACAGTAATAGTGAGAGAAAAGAATTCAGTCAGTCAACCAAAATCCAAGGGTCATTTGAACTGTTATTGACCTGAACCTGATTTTATCTACTTGGCTGTGTACTTATTGACGTATAAGCACTGAGGAGGTCTCAGAATCTGTACTTAAAACAACATATATGGTTCAACTATGCGGACACTTTTGGTACTTTTACTACCTCAATATTTTACCTTTCCTCCACACAGCTGCAGTACAACAATTTGATTTAAAGAGAACAGAGACAAAGCAGCGTAGTTCAAATTCACTGTGAATGCCATGGAAGTCAATCAATAATGGATAGAGTGAGTTTTCAGATTACGTAATTATATGTCATGTCAAATTAAAGATAACACCTTTCTGAATCTTAAACTACACCATTACGTAAGTGCATTTCATACCAGAGGAGAAGCTGTTGGTGCTGATGGTCCCTTTGGAGTGATCAGAGTCTTTCCCCTCTTCTTCTGAATATGGTAATTCTGGTATGGCTGAGCTTTTGTCTTTTGGGCGATACGGGTGTAGTACCAGACGTGGGATACGGCTGCGAGGTGACTTAAGTGTTGACTTCTATAATGAAAAATTATATTTTTATAAATTACAAATTACAAAAACCCTAATTAAATAAAACAGCAAATAGATCAACTGACCTCATAATCCTGGAATGGTCCCATTGTGTTCCAGAATAAATTTTCCCCTAAAAACAGCAGAAGTTTTAAGTGAGCCATTTTGGCTGTGAATATGGCACTGTTTTGACGTGGCACTCAAATCTTTTGACAAACATGGGCTTTTAGTGCTGCACAAGTCCCACCCACTCATAGTGCACACACATACTTATTCACAAGTCACAAGTAACCTGACTAAGATGTTCTAACCAAGAGGAATAAGAGCAGGACCTTCCTTATACCCAACCCTTGGTTGTTTTTCAGTCATTTAAAGCTAGAGTACTTGGTCTTGCCTAATGCCAGAACTGCCAGGCTGCCTGCCAATAGACTAAAGGTTTGGAAACTGGGATCAGCCAAAAAGACTATACTTACAAAGTGGAACTTTACTACAAAGTCATGTTTTATATGATATTTTTAATTGAAATAATAGTAGGCCTACAAACTGCAAAATAAGAGTCTTCTATATATATAGTGCAATTCCTTTGACCTGTTTTTTTCTGTTCTTTATGTCTTTGCCTTGCAGAGAGCAGTTGAGTAAAGAGAAATGTGATGTAATTGTCCTCCACTGAAGTCTCATCATTAAATCCAAACCAATCAGTTTGTTGATGTTGTTCACAAAAATGGCCTTTCTGTAATTAAATTACTCTTGATAAGAAAATTATGTATTCAATAATATATTTTTTATTACTTTCCATTTACTTTTGCAAAAATCTATCACTTCACTAGGGAAGGATATTATTTATTTCCTTTTCCAAAATATACCACAACTCCTCTGCACTGCCTGTCCAATTGTCCTCTTCAAGCCTGCTATTGTAAAACTGGAGCAGTCCCTTGTGGGAATCGAAGTCTTCCACCTCAGAAATAGCTTTGATTCATTGGGGCCTGTGTGCCATGTTGCCTTCAGCCTTACTATCTACATTCTCACAGACCACACTGATCCTTTAGCACTGCACAGCTGGTAAACAGGGCATTATTCGGGCATCGTGCAATTAGATTAGGAAGAAAATGGGCAGAGAGGAGGAGAGAGAGAAGTGCCTAACAACAGGCTAAGGTACCAAGGGACAAATATAGACCAATCATTTTTTTATATATAAGGAAACATATATGTACTGGTGTGTCATTCAATTGAAAATGTACATGTAATACAAAAAGGCCAATCTAATAGAAAAGGCTGATATTTACTCAAAGCAAATGTTATGTAATAACTTTAGATGGTTTCATAGAGTTTTGTTGTTTGTTTGCAGGCTATGAGTGTTCTTTAGTCTTTTATCATACAATATAATCTTATAATACATTTAATAAAATTTGAAAAATAAGCTTACAATCACCAAGACAGGGATATAAATGGCTAAAACCACTGATCTAAGCAATAGCAATACATAGACTATGTGGTTGATGTAATTGGCAAACAATATGGCATTTCATCCTTTTGACTGTCCAGATGGTCTTTCAGAAACAGCATGACATTGGTGTGAATAATATCTCCCATAATCCTGTGTGGTTTGTGAGCCTGCTTGTTCATCAGGGACACAGCCTAATGCCTCTCTCTGATGTTAACAAGGACCACGCTCTTTCAACTCTTGTGCTTTGAGTGAAGAGAGTAATCAGGTTTAAAGTTGTATAATTTCACTGATGACGCACAAAGAAAACAAACTGATCCATGTACTGAACCATGTATTAAGTAACACATGTCTGTAGGCCTACATCTTAACAAACAACATCGATTTAAAATACAATATTCCTCCTGTTGTCTTTTCTTTGAATCATACCATACTTACATACTTACGTACATACAGGGTGGTCTTTACAGGGATTCCTGCAATTGCACAGTTACACACAGGCCAATATCAAAAAACCAGCATCATGGCTACTATTAATGAAGTTCAAACAAAAGCATCTGAAAAAAGAAAGGCCTTTTTCTCCATCTATCAACAAATGTTTCATTTCACAAAATCTATATGTCTGTTTATGGTACTTGGGTGACAGGTAAAATACAAATATGCATTTTAAATAAATGTTATAGATAGGCTATTTGCAGGATCACTGTGGATACATTAGATCATCAGTGAGTAATCCTTTCACTTTCAGGATCCGACTCAAAAAGCATCCATCTGCAATTTGTCAGCAAAGATGACGGACTTAGGGTGGTACATTCAAGTGAACAGGCCTTCGAAGCTATTTTTAATTCACAATATCCCGCTACTCCTGTGTATCATACGCTAAAACAGGCATAAATTCCCTTTACGCCCTTTGTTTACCAAGTCTCCCAACAATGCCTGCGCTGTTGCTTTGCACTTGACACTCATTCCCCATTATGCAATGGCATTCGATGGCAACAATAGAGTAGCCTATAATAACAAATGTATTCTAATCTAAATCTAGTCTAGATCTAATCTAGTTTTTGCTCTCAGTACCGGGCGTAGTCTACCATCGAATTGCGCCAATTTATTGACGTATACAACATGTTCTTATCTCCTCAAATTCAAGCCAATGTATCTAGGCTATGTTATTACATAATTGTATGGTTATAGCCTACTGGATAGATCTTACCTGCCTGAGTGATGATGTTTGTCTCCTGTATGAAGCACAAAGAGTCCAGATGACTGCTGCTGCTGATGTTGTTGTTGACGATGATGCTCCGGCGGTACCAGTCTCCTCCGCTCCAGTTTCACTTCTGCTCTATCCTCCACGCGCAGCAGCTTGGACGAACGCTATTGGACAAGAAGCGAGACCACCGACATGACAGGCACAATATGACTATACCATGCCCAAGAGTGTTACATAACAGGCAAGGCATTACTTAACCCCTGAGTGACCGCCACGAATGTGAAATACTGCGTAGCCTATATGTGCAAAGAGAATATGGCAGGTTTGTTGGCTTCTAACCTACATCTACATTTTATCGAACCATTATAACGCCACTACACATCTGTGCCTTCATTGCCTTGACAATGACTGCAGTGTGACGGTGCAGCGTGCAGCCCACAGTTAAGTGCGCAATGTCATGTTTATTGTCAAGGCGCGTTACCTCTCCATGGTGCTGAAATCTTCTTGTAAATGTAATTACTGTTGTAATATTGGCAAATCAAGAGTAACAAAGTATCCGTCTAAATCTTCAAGAGATTTAGCGCTAGGCCATGAGGATGAAACAGAAAGAGTTTAAGAAGCTTCAAATGTGGCAAATGAAATCACTTAACATTAGTTCATTAGCACCATTTGTTCGGGTGCTGTCATTGTTCAATGGGCTCGTTACCAAAGATGAGCTCAAAGCAGGGCATAGATTCAAAGTCATCTGCATTTACGAATTACCAGTTTGTCTTGATATCTTTGGCATCCCCTACTGGATTGATGAGGGACAGCCATGAGGAGGCACTTCAGGACAACAATGGTCACAATGATAAATGCTTGGGCGGTGAAAACGTTTACAATTTAATCTGTTTCTGAGTGAGTGTCCAATATGTTTAATGTCAATAATAATAATGATGTCAGCTATGTCCCATTTTTACTCCAATGTGTTTTTCCCCCCTGCAATGACTAACAAAATCCGCTTGATGCCAGTAGAGTTGTTTGCTAAATACTTACTATCGCCTTTATATGAACCCATGCATCGTGCAAAAAATAAAACGTAAAAATATTGTGTTTACATCTGTAGAGCTATCTACCTAATTTAACGTGATGTGTTCTGAGGACTTTTAAAACTGTCCAAGCGTATAGCCTTTCGATAAGGAACTTTTTTTAAAATCTCCAATTAAATATGTAAGTGTAAGTGTAATATGTAATTAATTAGAGAAGTATTTCGTAAACTACGTTTTGAGTTGAGAGTTTAAATGTTTAAACTATTATAATGTGCCTGATAATGAAACCGGTTGAGTGTGCGCTGCCAGCGGGGGAGCAGCTAAAGACCTCTTGTGGTACTCTTGACCAAACATAATTCATAGTCCCTCCTGTTGCTCGTCTAAACTCCGCGTCCTTCGTGGCTCTGAGCGGAGCGTGAGTTTGTTTGGGAAGCCTGCTGCACAGTGCATCGTGTGGGCGTGTTTCTTTCGACCCAACACTCTCTGCTCTTGTGAGGAGCCCAAAACACACATCTTCTCGCTGAGAGCAGAGTTCGCGTAAAGCGACAGCAGGTTTTAGAGAGTCATCTGACGCGCGCACCATCACCGCGAGCACCAGTAGCGACTGCTCCTCAAACAAAGCAAAACCTCACTCAAACGGTTGATCATCTTTTTTCAGTCATGGACGCGACTCTGCACATAACGCTTTTTCTGGGCTTTATTTTTGCTTTCCTTGGGAATATACCGTGCTTTCAGTCTGCAGCTATCATCTCCCCATCCACACCAAAAAGGCACCGAGTAACTAAAGCCTTGCATCAGGACGGACAAAGGTCACACAAACTATTGAAAGACATTTTCTCGTACTCGAATACAGTAGGGAACCAGTTTCATCATCACAAAGACGAGTTTAAAGACGGCATTGTACCGCATGAATACATGCTTTCTATTTACCGAACGTATTCAGCCGCGGAGAAGCTCGGACTAAATGCAAGCTTTTTTCGCTCATCCAAGTCTGCTAACACCATAACGAGTTTTGTGGACAGAGGAACAGGTTGGTTTCTTGCATAACTCTCCTCTCCCACACTGTCATCTCGCAGATGTGTGTTTTTTTGTTTTTTTTGTTTTTTTTTGTTTTTTTTTTATGAATCAGGTCTAAAGTGGAAGAAAATACAAGCAACTTTTACGTGTGTTTTACGCACACATTTTAAAGGCGCATCGAAAGGGTATAAAAAGGGACAATGTTTTAAATAGTTGAACCCCGTTAGTTGTTCAGTTAACAACTTTGTCTATTGTGTTTTGTCTAAACATTTAACCAGTCAGAGCACAAATATCCAGATGAGAGTAGTTTCTTATTAATAATAATTATTATATATGTGTGTAAGATATATGGCTTGAGGTAACCTCTGCGTAACAAGACACTAAAACACTAATTGGGGCTCTTTCTAAATGAAGGCTGTAAATCACTGTCACTGATGTTCAAAATGGACCAAGATGAGAGTGAAAAGTAGCTACATTTTGACGAAAACATTCCAAATGATAACAAATCCAAAGATTAAGATGAAGAGATTACATTATTATTATTATTAGTCATACAGCGGATTCCTACTTTCAACTCTAGACGGGCCCCATTTTGATGCAGGCCTATATGTCTGTGTGAAAAACAGGTGTTTGGGTCATGTGGATAACCAAGTGATTTGGGCATGCCACAACAAATATAATTTGATAAATACAAACACGGAGGACGCACACAAGGTCACATAAACCGAGTTAATCTTTTGTATAGGACGAAATAAGGTTATCTTTGTTTGCCCTTTCTCCTTCGACAAAGCCGTGGTTCCCATAGTTCCTTTGCGCAATCAGCAAAAGCCAGTCTTCCCAATCCTATAATATTCAACCAAGTAAACCAAACGATTAAAAAAAATCTTGGAAAAATCCAATTGTATTATTTCTTCAAAATTGAGCGCTTTGAGCAATTCCCGGAGGACTGAGAGGCTGATTTGACAAGGCCACAAACACCAAGTCTCTTGTGATTGTGATGTGATGTGTCACTGCCCCTGACCCTGAGCTGGACCCCGTGAGCATCGCTTGGCATCGAACGGCTGATTGAAGTATTTGATCTCACTGATTTAACTGAGTGTTCATGTCATAACATATCAAACAATGTCCATTCTCCCATAATGGTCCAGTTGGCCACGGTGGCACATTACCAAAAAGGAAAGAGTAGGGAAAATTGTGTGCTTCTTCAGCTGTTGAGCAAAGTGCTTCGTACTTTCCTTCGTTTACAACAGCCTCCCTTTGCGACAGCCACTTTAATTGCGGAAAATTATTTTTTATCCTCGCTCTTTCAGCTCCGCTCTATTCTTTTTCCTCTTTTCATTCCCTGCATCCCCGGTGTGTTATATTGCATCAACCACTACAATATACCTTCGCCTGTCCCACCACAGTGCGTAACCTTATCAAAATAACACAGGCCTATCAATGATTTGTGGTTGTAGTTTTCTATAAGACAAAACATCAATAAAATAGATCTTAAGGGTCAGAAATGGCGAAATCGTAAAAGAATAAACCCAATCTGAAAATTACTTTTGGCACTATGGAGGTAACTCGTTAAAGCTGCAGATGGCGTCCCCTTTCCCCTTTCTCCGTCTCCCCCTCAATATGCCACTTGAAACAGAGGCATAGATGACAAAAACATGTTTTGCATTTGTTCAGATACAAACCAACAAGGTCGCGTTAAACTCCGCGTTATAGCCCCCAATTTTAAGTGAGCAATAAAACTACTCAATTACAAGTATTTTTACACGTAATGGAAACGTGTCATTCAACATAGCTGAGAAATTAAGGACTTGCATTTCTCACTGTCAACACCAATACACCGCGCAGCACGCGCGGGCTGAGGGGAATAATGTTGTCGTTGGCAAACGAAGTGAAATTCAAGAGTGCCAGTGTTTTAATGAGGAAGATGGGGATATATAAAAACTGTTAATTATTTGCTGGCCTCGTATTTGTCTGAGTGCCTTTTGAAAACAAATTAAAAGGGCAAAAGGAACACTTCTAATGCAGACCATACGACAAAGTCAGAGAAAAGACCACTTGCCTTCAGTGCGTTTTTACGATTTGACTCCACGGGGATCACCGAGGGTAACTGACAAGCAACTTCACAGATCTTTTTTCTTTCACTGGTGATTTATGATCCATAATCACAGTCGTGTTTAAACTGGGGCAGATCATACTTTGATTCATTCACGCTCAGCCAAAACAGTGGCCATAAACTAAAGCAACAGGCGCCATTTAAAACCACTTAATCCCCCTTAATAAGACATTTCCCCTATCCTTGATTTGAATTACTATAACCACAATAATAACATTGCAAAACGGTACAGTCCATTTACCAGAGCGAGAACACACGTGTTTCCAAACTTGTCTTGATTTAAACCACATTATGGCAGCCACGTTGCCGAAAAAATAGCCCTATATGCATAGCATGCAAATTAGCCTACATAAACTGGCCTGGCCTCATTTTTTTTTTTTTTTTTTTGGATACAGAGAGAACATGCTGAGTCCAGTAGCTCAGTAGCTACAGCCCCTTCATGTCCATCTTCTAAAGGCCGAATAATGAGTTAATTGTGTATTGTTCCACATTGTACAGCTCTGTGTCGCCTTTGGTCCGTTGTGTCTAGCAGCACCCAGGGGCCTTCACTTCACCACACAACTTGTTTTTATACTCTTTGCTTTGTTCCTTTCTCTGTTACAGTAGGACAACCTTACCTTTTCCGTTCTGCCAGTGAGGTGGAAATTAAGATCAGTCTGTCATCGAGTCTGCTGGAAAAGGCATATTTTATTACGACTTTGATTAAAAATGACATGGGATTCAGATGCATGCCATGCACAGTGACTTTTAGTTATGGGAAAATATCAAGATTAGGTTTTGATTTTATATTTACGCGCAGGATTTTTGTTGCAAACAAACTGCAGCTTGAGGAGAAAATAGCCATATATGTTCTAAAAATGGGCTTGTAATTGTACCATTTCATGTTGGTATTTGTGTAGGCCTACTTAGAAAATAAATTATGAGCACGTAACGCGTAAAGATTTTTGAAAGAATAGGTTACTTGACGGTTGTCGTTTGTTTAAGAATGTTTTATGTGGGCTAAAAAAAAAAAAGAAAGAAAGAAAACAAGACATGGGATGGGTTTTGGGAGCGAAAGCAGGCCTTTATGGGAGAATGCGCGCCCCTCCCCCTCTTTCAGAACACTGTACTCTCTAAGTGAATCTGACTGCAATTATTTTCTTCTTCTATCCCCACAGACGATCTTTTGCACTCTCCACTGCGAAGACAAAAGTACACGTTTGATGTCTCAACTCTTTCAGACAAAGAAGAGCTGGTTGGGGCGGAATTAAGGATATTTAGGAGATCGTCGGGAGACGTGCACAGCTCCCTTGGCCTCTACGATATCCAGCTCTACCCATGCCGCTCGGACTCGCTGCTGGACTCCAGGTCACTGGACCCCCTGGACGCCACCAAAGCGGGATGGGAGGTTTTAGACGTATGGGAACTGTTTAAAATGTATCCTCACAAACATCAGCAAATCTGCCTCCAACTGAGGGTCACTCTGGGTAAAACGGACGCTGAGGTGGATCTGAGACAACTGGGTTTGGATAGAGCAGGCAGATCTCAACAGGAGAAGGCCTTACTAGTGGCGTACACGCGCTCAAAAAAGAGAGAAAACTTGTTTAACGAAATGAAGGAGAAAATCAAATCGAGGAGATCAGTGACTGATAGAGATGGTGCGGATGGAGCAGTTATTAGGACCGAGGAGGAAGCTGTTTCACTTCGGACTGTGCGGGGAGAGGGCCCGAGGAGGAGGAGAAGGACCGCGCTGAGCAATAGACACGGCAAGAGACACGGGAAAAAGTCCAAATCCAGGTGCAGCAAAAAGGCACTGCATGTTAACTTCAAAGAGCTGGGCTGGGACGATTGGATCATCGCGCCTCTGGATTACGAAGCGTACCACTGCGAGGGAGTATGTGACTTCCCACTGAGGTCACACCTGGAGCCCACCAACCACGCCATCATACAGACGCTTATGAACTCTATGGACCCTAACAGCACGCCTCCGAGCTGCTGCGTCCCTACCAAACTCAGCCCCATTAGTATCTTGTATATAGACTCTGGTAACAACGTGGTTTACAAACAGTACGAGGACATGGTGGTGGAGCAGTGTGGGTGTAGGTAGCGGCCCTTCAGCTTCCACTGAGCGTTCACTGATCCCGTTGTTTGGCTTAAAGGTGCTTTCCCCCCAAATGTAACGACGCGCCTTAATTTAAAGGGATGCACATAGGCTGCTATTTATTTTCGCCCCAGAGTGTTCCTTTTCACCCACCAGTCTATCAAGCAGGCTTTTGTTCCCCGCGGTGCCTTAAAAGTGGCGTCCAAACTGTGCACCTGTTCCGTGCTAAGGCCAGGGGACTCGGGACGCGGTTGGTCCGTGTGATGTGAATGTGCTGTTGTATCTTTGCCAATGCGCACACTTATTCTGGACGCTTTTGGTTGTGTGCATCTTTCCAAAGGCCAGTAATTGTGTTACTGTCCATCTGGGGTCAATGCGCAGCCCCCGAGCAACAAGTGCATATTTTGCCCCCGCCGAAAAAGAAGGGGCAAAAAGTCTATGTACCAAACACACAGAGACACAGGAGTGAAGATAATGCCTGCATGAGATTTAGCACTGTTTAGTGAACACGAGGCGCACATAGGGACACTGTTGGAGCATGATGCATATAGGAAATAAAGGCTATTTCTATTTGGACTGGTGCGTAATAATACAGATTATTGAACAAGATTATTGATCACAAAATAAAAAAGTAGGCTACTGGTATTATTGTAGCATTGACAGATTATAAAGAATGAAGTAGTCTAAGATATTTTACATCTCCTTCTTAGCTCGTCTTGGCGCAAAAATGACATTACAACCAAATCTTAAAAGTTGTCAGCCAAAATCAAGCCTTAGCCTATAGTGTTTTGTTTTGGACGAATGTCTGTAGAACACAATTGGATTTATTACCGGTAAAATCCGATTTATGGCAAAAGTAGGCCTACCCTGGGACAGAGAGGGAAGTTGAAAGCCTTCAAAAAGAACGAGGATGGACTCGCTGTTGAGAGAGTGACTGGGGCCCTATAAAAAGCACACAATACTGAGGCATCTTTACTCAATGCACTTCCACTGAGAGAGACTGATGAATAGATGAATATTAAAATAAAGACTCGATACGAGACGATATTTAAATGCACATTAGCTTTGAATGCACTGCTGTTCATTATTTCTTTGTGTATAGTATTTGTAAATACTCTAGAAAGTGCAACGAATGGAGAAATGAACACGCGGCATTTCTTTGTAAATATACAAATGCACTCAAATTGGTATAATTTTTATTCTATAATTATTTTATTATTTGTGATGTACAGACTTTCATGATAATCATATATTTCTTACATTGATGAGAGTAATTTAAGGTGTACTATTAGATTTGTCTGTTGTTTTGCAGAGTGGAAAATACCGTCCATATTGTCTACCTCATTATTGCTTCATAGGATCTGAGTTTGAGGTGCATTCACTTAGAGTGTAAAGAGCTTTTTTCAATGATATACTTTAAGATCATTTATATACATATATTACTGGATAATATTTCACACCATTACTGTACAAATAAAATCTAACTGAAATTACCCATCCCTTTTTCACTGCAGCCTATATCATATTTTCACTGGTTACAGTTAGACTTACCAGACCACGTTTTTATGAATTTTTTTTAGTAGCATTCTCATTTTAAAGTTTCACAGACTACAAAATGTGTCTACATTGAAAATGTTTTTGTTCAACATCCTGACCACATCAATACTGAACGTGCAGACTTTTCATATTGTTTATTATTTATTTACAACTGGAAATTACTTATTAATTACTAAAATAACTGAACTTGAAAGCCTAAGAGTATTCAGCATCAGCCACTATTGTCTCCCAAAAGATGGCAATGTTTTTAGACCTCAAACACCTGCGTCAACCTCTACTTGTGTTCTGCTTGTTGCTTCAGTCATTAAAAGTGCACTATTGTGCAATTTGCCAGTCTTTCAAATTTTAGGTGTTTAAGTGAAAAAACATGTTCCTTACAACTTGCTTGTGTTTTTCAGCTCTGTAGAAATATGCCAGGTCACTCATCAAGTAGTCCACAATACATTTAATGATTAAATGCAAGCCCATACTGTGACTATGGGGCCACATGTACCACACAGGCTCTGTAAACATATGGTGGCCATTCAAATGGAAGGAAGGCTAGTGACAGAGTGACACTGATACAGCAGTGAATGCACAGACCCTAACTATTTCCCAATGAATTAGCCAGCCTGGGTTAAGTTTACTTAACACTTTAATGTTTCCCAATCTGTGGATGAAAAAGGGAGTTTGAAAGAAGGGATTGCTTCCATATAGACTGTCGACCTTGGCCTGGAAACAATTAGGAAATGTCTTTGAAATGTTATATGTTGTCCAGGCTCTTGTACAGTATCATGTCACTCCCCAGTCCCCACATGTTTGCTGGGGGAAATAGAGGATGCTAAGTGCACTCTTTAGCAGTCGTTGCAAATGACTGACACAACAAGCATCCCCCTGAGTTTAACCAAATGGCCCCTGAGGCGCTGAAGCACCCTCTCCCCTGTGCTGAGGCTCACAAGTGCACTCTGGGAGGTAGATGCGCCGCCATTACTCCCCTCGTCATGTCATAGGGCTCAGCATTAGATTCCATTATATCAATGATTTTCAAAAGGTGGAACTGGGTCCCTGTGATACACCAACCTTTTCAGATATTACTTTGGTGAAATCCTTTGCAGTTGTAATTTCGTTTAATTTTGGCCCACAGTTATTCAGTTTTAGTCTCACATTGGCTTTCTTCAGATTAATGGTAGACTGTAGTTGAGTTCAGATAAAGTCCTTCTGTAGTCCATCTTTAGACTGGCAAAGGCCTAGTTTAGACAAGGCACTGGAAAGACTGAGAGGAAGAAAAATAATGCTTTGTTTACCCTGTTGAGTCCTGCCAAAATATCTATAAACTTTCTCATCACGACTTCTGTATTGTCCCTGCATGTCACACAAATTAAAATGTAAAAAAAAAAAGTTTATTTATTCATTTAGGCTTTGTTACACTAACAACAGCAACCGATGCCAGACCTGGTCCCTCACATAAAACAGACATGCAAACATTATGAAGTGCGGTACAAATAATGTGGAAAAATAACACACATTATACATTTCTTTAGTGTTCACAGGCTTAACTTTGCAATTAAACTGGTTCAGATCTGTGAGAGTTTTCAGTTAGGCAGGTATGGTATTCCAGATGTGTGGGCCTTTTAAAAGTGCTCTTGCAATTACAAGTTTATGTGTGTGTGTTTTTTTAGGTTTAGTCTTGGCTGTAAGATACTCTTGTTACCTGCAATAACATGGCCGAAGTTATGCATAATGGTTTTGACACAACCATTTATGACTCCCTTGACCCTGTCTGTTCAGCTCTGACCGCAGTATGTATCTGTACATAGATGGACAGATGAGAAAGGAGAACAGACTAACCTGTGCTGCTGTGGTCTCCACTGAGCACGGACTTGAAGACAGAGTCAGAAGTTTGCAAAAGAAAATGAACTTAAAGAGGCTGTGGAGCTAGCTACTTTACTTGACAGCTGCCCTTTTAGGGCCAATGACAGATCATAAACCAAAGAAGAGCTCTATAGAGTAACAATGGTCCAAGATGTTTCCATTAGACAGCATCTGTCCTGTCCTACCCTAAACCCCCTCCCTCATGTCCCGCCATACGGTAACAGCAAGACCACACCTGTCACCTAACCTGCTAAATGTGTTAAAATCTTTCTCAGTTAGGATCACAATAGAAACATGATGACATTGTATTATGATATCCACATTATATCTCCACATAATCCAGCTCCCAAGGTCTGTGTGATAAACATTGCACCAATTATTTCTTAGTGTTGCCAAAACTGTACTCAAGTCCTTAATTTAATTGTAATATGTTATAAGTGCATGTGAAATACAAACCATATTTACATAGTGAAAGATTCTGTGTATGCCTCAGTAACAACTATTGGCCATGGTATTGTAATGAGGAAAAAAACAAAACAAAACAAAAAACAGCAAAACAAAACAAAAAAAAAAAACAAAAAAATAAAATAAAATAAAATAAAAAATAAACAAAACATTGAATTCAAAATAGTATTTCTTCTTGTGCTTAGATGACACTATAGCATTTTTAAAGGTCCTATATTATGCAAAACTTACTCTTATGAGCTTTTGCCATTAGAATGTATCCTGGATCCATCAAAAACATACCTGGATTTCCACATGACATCATAAAAAAGTGTTTTCTGTTTGAGAGAAGAACTCAGCAGGGTTTCTGTATTAAACATGTGCAAAGGAAACAAAACACAACTCCAGGTATGTTCGTGATGCAGAAACAACATTATAACATAGATCTAAAAATGGTATAGTATTGGCCCTTTAAAATCTATTTAAAAATGCAAAGTAAATGTATCTTACCATCTGCCAGTCCCAAGCCCAGACCAATTGAAAGGTGCAGCATCTGGGCTAAATCAAATACACAATGTCATTACTTCTTGGAAAGAGCAAAGGGCCTTAACATCATGCACCATTTCAACTTCATTTCAATACAGCTCCTGATTGTGCACAGTTTATGAGACCAAGCTACATTTTGATGGATCTATTTGAAATACCTGTCTGGAGAAGCCCGTTTTTTGTTCTGTTTATTTTCTAACGGAATGTTGGAGCGTCACCTTTGACCCCTCCTCATCCATTTACTGCCCCTGGTCTATGTTACAGCTGGTGACCTCAGCCCACGCCATCCTCGATTAACAAGTACATCTTCAAATTCCCCTGCAATCGCCAACCTAAAAAGGAAAATAATTTTTGTGTGTGCTAGCAGTACATCTTTCTTTATTTCCTCCAGTCACTGGGGACTTACGAGAGTGCATGCTCCGTGTTGACAAGTGTGGCTGCGTAGAGGGTGAATGAGCCTGAGTCCAAAGCAAATTTACACAGTTAACACCGACAATACCAGTGTTTGGGAGCAAGGCAAGGACATGACCTCTTTGGCAATTTACATCCGCTCAGATTGGTGAGGTGGAGAGGGCTGGGGACCAAAAAAAGGTAGATAGTGGTCAGAATCTACATATTAAAGGGCCCATATTACACAATTTTCTGATCCGTTATAATGTTGTTTCCTCATCACATTAAA